GTGGATTTTGTCAGTATGTGTTAGTCGGCGAGATCGGCGTGTGGGTGGGAATATTTGCAGAAAATTCTTCTTCTCAAAATATTCACGTTCTTGGAATGCGAACTTTCGCCTCAATTCGTAAAAACATGCTCTTGGATGTTGTTCCATTTCCGATAAACTACATCATGACAGGAGATTTTCTCTTATCTACTTCAGCAATGTTCTGGTATTACTACTGCAAAATTGCTTGGCCAGCGGCAGTAAAGTGGAATCCCTCTCGAATACGGATGTACGCGCATCCAAGTTGTCCCAAGCCTTGTGCTAATATCACACATCCCTGCACCCGGAAGAGCCATGTGGTTCGTCTCGGCCCATCAATCCTTATGGACCCGGAGGTGAGGGAGGAAACCATCTTCAACGAAAGCTTCAAAATTTGTCAAATGACTGAAAGTGGCGTCTATGCACACAATTATCGCTGCGTCTGTCAAAGGGTAAGTTTTACTGCGAACCTGGTTAATTTGGTATAGCTTCTGTGGTTGAGGTGCATGAGTTAAGTTACTTAAAGAAGGTTCGTCGGAATTATGTCTTTTTCGTTTGAGCTTTTGAACCTTTACCGGAGTAGTCCAGCGTCAGAGATAAAAACGGCTGCGAAGGTAAACTCGTGACTCCTTTCGAAGGTTTGGGCAACCGCTTGTGATAATTCGTCACCCCGTCTTATAGCCAGCTTATGTTCTTGCGTGCGCGGTCCGAGCAGGCATCCAGTCTGTCCTGTGTAATTAAGAAGAACAGATCTGCTTCGAAAGTTTTCAAATTGGCTGTTTGACTGAGTTTGGTATCTATGGGCCCAGTTATTGCCATGTTTGCCAGAAGATGGGTGTACAGTGTACATCAGCATCGAGGGTAGTGATTTATTTTCACCCTACATGCACTCTGTTGAAACCTCTAGGAAACGGAAGAGTTTTGAACATACACAATTGGTGACCCGGGCCACGATATTAAAGTAACCCAAAAATATGAAAATAAATCGATTGTAAGCATTCGCATTAGACTTGAAGAGACTTCACTGGCAATGCCACATTCTGTTTCTCCAGATAGGCCACTGGAGCCCTCATCATCTACATCTTCCATCTAAAAACCAGAAAATTATTCTCCTCTCCTTCAGACTGGCTATATACTGTCCAGTCCGCTTCAAGAGGAAGTTCTAGAAGAGTCGGACAACTTCTCGCAGACACTGATCAATCAGATCTGTCAAGAACTCTGTGACCACGGCCAAGGCGAGACGCTGTCCAGCGCATTTTCATGTTACACAGCATGCACTGTGCGGCTAGTAGTCAGGGCTCGAAAAATGAGACCCAATGCCGAGCGGGATAAGTGGGTTTCGTAACCGGTCGGTGAACTTCCATCCGCCAATGCGGGCAATACTTTAAAACTCAAAACATTTTAACCGCCCTTGGTTTAATTTATGACTAGCTAATGATTGCATTAACGTGATGAATTGACATTATAGTTTCCTACGGTTTTGTCAGTGCCACAATCAACTACAATTCCTACTTATTTAGTCTATTGACAGTCCTCGGGTTTTTGGCCACAATGACTCACGTGACTTGTAGATCGTTGGCTCATTTGCTGTCCCATGCGGCTTGACTGACTGCAAACGAACTGCTCTGCACTTTCAAATCCCGAGACAAGTACACTTTGACTAATGCATCATTCGGGAGATAAGTATACGCTCAGCATCCCGAGGCTTCCACACGGTTATCTGCACTGCAGGTCGTCGAATTGTGAATCCAGCCTTTATTCAGTAAAGTAGAGTGTAATTCCTGGATCATGTTTCATGAATTGTAGCAGCTCCTCCCTGGCTTCAAAATTCAAATACAAGGAACATCTGCTCATTTTCTATCTTAGAGGGTAATATTCAAAGACAGATCGTTTGTGGGTCGGGCTGTCAAAATTCACTATTTTTATTACCGTAACGCAGCTACTTATTTGATTAAGGTAGGTACATTATATTAAGGTGTGCATCTGATTGGTTGATTATGTTTGGGTTGGGGTTTCAAGGCTATCGTAGGGGTTAGGAAGCTATACTTTGGGTTTGGACTTGGATTTCTGGAATAAATTGTTATTGTTAGGGTTGCGGCTTGCAGATGTGGTTAGGAATAGGATGAAGGCATCGGGATGGGGTTTGACCTTGGGGTTAGGGTAAATTTTTGAGTTACGAAAAAGGCTTTCCAGCCCGTTTACATTTTAATTACACATCACATATTGGTTGGCATCATCTTTAACATTACGCCAACTTGCGACAAGATAGGCCCTGCTTGTAGTAAATAGCGTTTCCGGCAAAGACAAGAGAGACTGGAATGGTGATTTGTGACTCATTGGCCGTCATTAGTCAGTCATACCCAACCCCAAGCTGTGCCCCACTCGAGGCTCGGACCCGCGACCTTTTGATTATAAGTTTAATGTTCAAACCATCGAGCCACGGGTTCGTTGTTTGACAGTTTATTTTGGGAGCTACTAGCACTCATTAATTGGCGTTCACCGATGGCTAACGGAACTCACTCGTCCGGCTGTACCTCGGATCCCATCTGCTATCTGCCACTGTGCGGCTACTGGCAGGGCTCGACAATAAGCCCCAAAGCAAAGCGTGACCAGTACGTTCTGTTAGTGATCGGTGAACGTTAATCAGCGTATGGTGTGTTTTGAATTTGCAGTAGAGGACTCCTCTGAGACGAAATCACTGAGATTAGATTTTATTATGAAAAGCTGCTTGTTTATTTGATTGAGGTCGGCGTGGAATACACGACATTCTTTCTGACTGAACTTAATAAAATGCTTAAAGTATGGTTTAGGTTGTGTTTAAGATTACGTGTGGCAAAAGAATAAGTTTAGGTAAATAGTTTGTGTTGGGATTAGTGCTAAGCTTGGTGCTAAGGGAACGTTTGCCTGCCAGAGACCATGTTATCCAATCCAAACTTCCTTAACACCAAACCCCGCATTTCCTGTTTTCCGTCCGTTTACACGCCCGAAAACTTGCATATTGCGTGTCTGCCCCAGCACCTCCTTGTTAGATGAAAACAAACTCCTAGCAAGAGTGTGAGTATTCTCCGTGCCTTCATTTAGTGCTACGATTGCCTTTTCTCTAAATAAAACGAGTCTCATCACCCTTCTCCTGTTTTAGGCGTCTCTTTGCTCTATTCGCTCATTGGACACAAAATTAGATGTCTGTTATTTCGCGTTTTTTTCTAAATTTTTCATTTTTTTATACTCCTGAACTGATGCTACAGGGCCAAAGTCAAATTTGACAACAATAATCACGTGGATTCGTGCACTTGGTAGGGCCGCCCAATAGCAAAAATCTCACAGGTTTAATGCTTGAATAATGCGTACACAGTAGGAAATA